GTGATATATATAATCCTTGAAACCTGACCATGGATGGAAAGGTAATTGTCACCAGCCAAAATACGTACAGTAAAATGTATTCAATATACCTACAGACAAGAACGTACTCGCTAATATTAAAGTCTGCTGACGATATGACGTGTTGAGACTCTTGAACAGTTAGATTCGTTGTCCTAAAACACGTTCAAATCCGAGACGAAAAGTCAAAATGACTATTTCTAAGACATCGAACCCTTGAGTAATTTCCAAAGAGTGAAACATCGAAAGAAGAAAATCTACGATTTGTAACGGCAATTCGCAAACGCTATCTTTATATCTCGTGACTCGTATCCTTGAATTACTCAAGCTTGATGTGTTAACTACACTCTTGAAACATCTCGCTTGATCAATCTTGAAAAGATTGAATTCCATTGTTGTATCAAAATATTAAACCCTTGGGAACTTGTCTTAATTCATCAAGATACGTTATACCGATCTTTGAAAACTACACTCTGTGAACTACGGTAAAAGCATTCTGATTGGAATATTATGTTGAGCCTCTCTTTGTGAACCACAAAATGGTTGATGCGATTACGTTATCTCTGAAGATTATTATCGATGATCTCTTTGACCAAATAAACTCTATCATGACCCTAGAAAGGGAATATATGTGCAACAACCAAAGAAGAAATAACGTCAGAATGATCAAGCTGAATAATTCAAAAAAAATCCCGAATTTACAAGCGATGTTGGTGTAAGAACTCGTATGATTCCTCATTCTATGAATTCATGAATTGAATCACGTACTGAAGATATTATCTTTTTCCTCAAAACGAGATCAGCCATTGTGCTACAATCGAATCAGTCGCTATCATATCTAGATATGTTTTCAAATTAATGATAGAAAATTTGAATACGACAAGAGACCCCCAGCTCAACGTCGAAAGTTGCTTTGCTTGACTAACTGCTACTTCATTAATTAAAGAAGCGCAGACAGTTTAGAGATCCATTTTGATTTATTCCATCACACCCCAAAGCCAAAAAATGGTGAAATTTTGGCTCCATCGGAGATGATGGAAATGTTGAAGAGTAGTAGTGGGTAGGAGGTTAAAGAGGTGGCATGCCATGTGGAGAGCTTCAATCCAATACTCAGGGGGTAATTGGGCCTGGAAGAGCAAAGTTCGAATGGTGTTGTTTATGGTTCAGATCGGACGCTCTGCGCGTCCGTTTTGTTGGCTTGTGTGAGGGTAGGAAAAACGGAAGAGAATACCTAGTGAATTAAAAACATTTTGAAGAGGGGTGTTGCGATATTCTATTCCGTTGTCACATTGAACCGCTTTAATGGGGGTATTAAATTAATTATGCACATAATCCAAAAAAGTTGTTAGTTGTGAAAAAGCATCGGACTTGTAACGTAAAGGAAAAACTCATAAGTAACGAGAAAAATCATCGAAAAGAAGCATGTAAAATTTAAAACCAGTAATGCTGGGAACAGGAGATTGCCATAGATCAGTGTGCATTAATTGAAAAGGAAAACTTGAAGTTCTAACAGAAGAAGTAAAAGGAAGGTGAACATGTTTGCCTAACTGACAAGCATGACATAAATTGTCCTTAAAATGTTTATTGTAATTAATAAGAGAAGACAAGAAAGGGACTCCATGAAGAACAACCGGACTGGGATGACCAAGACGATGATGCCACGTTTGGGTGTCAAAAGATGCAGCGTGTACGGTGGACCTGGACGATTGGCGTGTGAGGGCGCAGGGGATAGAGAGGTCTGTCGTTATTGGAGCAATGTATCACGGCTCCCGTCTGAAGATCCTTCACAGAAAAGCCACGAGAGTCAAATTCAATGGTGTAATTATTATCATGGGTAAACTGACGAACAGAAATAAGATTATGAATGATATGGGGGAGACTAGGACATTATTGAGGGATAGGGGTGGGGAAGTGGGAAAAGTGTGTTTACCAATAGCCGTAACACGAACTTTTGATCCATCACCTACAGTGATGAGCGGTGGTGAATTTAAAGGAGAAGAATAAACATGAGAAATAGTACTTGGATCTGAGGCAATATGGTGAGAGGCACCGGTGTCCATGAGCCAAGTAGGTTCACGGAGGTTCGGTATTAGCCTAGGATTGGCTCTGATACCATGAAGAATTGTAAATTTCGATAATTGTTACAAAGTATTCCCTTCCCCTTAAACTCATTTTTTAAAAAGCACCTAGACCTGACAACTAGGTCAACCGGTTCGGTTCTGGTTCGGATCTCTTTGGTTCTGGTCTCTTTCGGATATATGTTATAATCGGGTTGGTTCGAGTTGGTTCGGTTTCGGGTTTATATTCGGTTTGATATTTTCCCAGTTTCGAGTCGGTTTCGGTTCGGATTTATACCGGTTCGGATTTATATCAGTTCGAGTTTATACCGATTTCAGATGAGATCACTTGGTATTGGAATTCCTAATGTTAGGTTTGTGTGTAGCCTCTCCTCCTTATTTGTAAAGGAAATATATATACAAGTGTTAGCAATAATGAGCTAGTATATCCATTGATGTGTGTTACGATGTCACTATATAGTACTCACTCCATTCGGGAATGTTCTTCCCGTGTTGACTTGACACGCTTATTAAGGAGTACTAAAAAAGTGTCAAATTTTAAAAATGCACATACTATAAACTATTAAATCTCCTTATTAAAAAAAGCAATAAAAATAGATTAGCGATAAAATAAAAGGGTATTATTAAAATTTATCCTTAAAAAGTATACTAAAAAAAGAAATGGAAAGAATATTTTTGGACGGACCAAAAAGGAAAATGAGAAGAACATTTCGGACAGAGTGAGTATATAAACTCTCTATAAAAATAGACAACAACCTTAGTTTAAATGATAAAATGCGGAGTAAAAGTTTTGTAAACTGTAATAATAAATTTATTTGATTATGTAATTTTTTTGTGGAGTAGAGAAGACTTTTACTCTAATAAATTTACTCGAATGAAATACATAATCAAATGATAAAATGCGGAGTAAAAGTACCCTAAGCATTATGGAGATGATGAAAAAACTTCTTTGTTGATTAGTTTTATGACGGGCGCCATCCTCATATAACTTCACAATCTTAAAATGTTTATGGATTATTGTAGATTCACAAACAATGTAGATGATAACCAAATACTCTGAGTATTGCCCCTATAGATTCTTTACCCTTGTCATTTTTATTCGTTTAGTTGGATTCTTTTCACTTCCATATTTAGGATTACTAGGGTTATAAAAAGTCCATTTAACCCTTCTGTAAATCTTTCGCATTATCTCTAATATCTCACCCCCAACTTAACCCACCCTAGTTTAATAGTTGTAGTGCCAGGCTGTCAGGGCAAATATGGAAAGTAAACAACATTCTTACATTTGCCTAATACGCCGTAAAATCTTCTCTGGGTGAGTATACATCAATATTAACACAAATTTGAATTGAAACTAATATCTGGTAATCCTCTTTTACTGTAAAGTGACATTCTTTTGGGGATAGAGAGAGTACTAAGCTGATAATTCTATTGCCGAAGTATTTGTAATTTTCTTGGAGAAATTTTGGATATGTTCATGAGCTTTTACCACCGATCCTCGGTTACCAATTCTTTGGTATGAAATGTCGATTCGCTCATCGATCATGTAACTACTGAACGTAGCGTGTTAAAGTATTTGGTCTTGTGCAAGAGAGGGGTTATTAAAAGTTATTTGAAACTAAGGAAAACCCTTCGAGACACATTTTCCGCCTTGATAGATCATAATGAATTCTGGATTGTAGATTAAAAGAACATTAGAGCAAACATCATGATCATATGGTAAATGGCAATCCATTAAAGGGATATTTTTTAAGATACTAAGAACAAAGAAGCAAGATGTCCATATAAAGGTAAATACACATGCAGCAAAATCTGATCTTGCAAAATATAGGACCCTTGGTAAATTGGTGTAGTGAGAATGTGAAATTTGAAGCTAGAAAACAGCTTAAACTTCACCCACACCGCAAAAATTCCGTGTCAAGAGAGAATCCACGGGGCCCTAAAAGGACTTCTGTTTAAGGAACATCAGCAACTAGTCCAAACACCAACAATTTTAAGCATGCCTCGCAAAAGAGGGCCTTAGCCAGCTGGTTTAACTTACCTGTGGGGTGGAAGACCGAGCAACATTTGGCTTGTTTGGCGGAGGTGGCAGCTTGGATTCTACCCACTCAGGTGCACTGCTTAACCACAACCCTTCGCCCGATTCTTTGTTTTTGAAGTCAGGAGCTTTCTCATTCCATTTGCTTGACCTGTTATCCCACCATTTTTCAGGATTCTCCACCAAACGCTTCCACAGCTCCTCCTTCACATTCTTAAACTGTCCTGAACTAAAGTTCAATCCTTGGAGTGCTTTCACCACCTCCTCTGGGGTCTCATTGCTGAGCCATAGCGCGGTACCTTTTGCCGCGTGCTTAAAATCCGGGTGTTTAGATTTCACTGTCCCCTCAGACTTCCTTCGCCTGTAATCCAGCCACTCGTTTGGATTGTTGATCAAATCCCACCAATCTTCACTTACAGCAGCACCTTTTTCGACGTCCTTACGCATGAAAACCTCATGGGCAGTTCTTGAACCACAATCCACTTCCCCATTTTTCAATTCTTTCGCCTTAACATCATCTGGGGCGGTGTTTGAATCAGAAATCACTGCCCCATTTCCTCTGCCAGGAGCCTTCCCTTCAACTCTGCCCTGTACGAAGTAGACATCTTGAGCCACAATATGAAAGCTCCCTTCGTGATCGCCAACCGCAAAGGGCAAAGGGTCTCCACATAATTTCCCAGACACAAACACACAAGCAGTCTCCTTCACATGGCACTTCACAACATGAGCCAAATCGCCCTCGAACACAACAGGAATCAATACAGAAGGCAGATACGGCACAGAGAGAGACATTGCCGTGCTGAGTTCGTGGTTATCTTGCTTAATGACGGTCGCGGCCACAGGCTTTCCATCGGGCAAGGTCTGGAACTGAACAGGCAATTGCACGCACCCGATCAATTTCACAGAGTTTGCAGCCTTGCCTTGGAACGGAATCACGCTGGGCTTCCGCCAGGAAGAAGAGGCGGCGCCGGATTCTTTTGCGACTTTCGGGGAATTCAGCACGTAAAACGCCGTGGAATACGACGGTTCTCCCGGTTTCGGGGAGGGATGGACGGAGGCTTGCGGGAGTGAAGCTAGGGTTTTGATCAAGAGAATGCAATTGCTTGGCTTTGATGGCGAGAGAGAAGAGCGTGAGAGCGTTCTTCTAATCAGGAAATGCATTGCTTCAGCGTTGAGCGGGAGCTGCGTCCCGTGGAAATGGAAAATCTAGGGTTTCTGTGGTTTCAAATTTCCAAATGACAATGAGACTGCGAGCTCAAGTTAGATGATGGGGGGAGATGGTTCACGAGGCAGTCACGGGTAGAAACGGTAGGGTCTTTAAATGAAAAATCCTAAAAACCCCAACCCTTGCTACCACCCATGCCTCCTACATAAACATGTGGTAGGGAGGCAAGAAAATTAAAATTAGAGGGTGGGTGGAGAATGGGTAGAGATAAATATGTGGTGGAGAAATGGGTGGAGGCAAGGTTGGTAGCAAGGGTGGGGGGTGTGTAGCATGGTCTTCTTTAAATTTGGGATATGCTAGGGGTGTACCTCAAATGTACAACACTCCCCTTTCTACCATTTATTTTATTTTGTTTTTATTTTCATTTTTTTGAATTTTTCTTGCCTTTTTTTGGGGTGATGGAGGGGGTGGTGGATGTTTGGGGTACACTTTTAGTATACCCCTAGCATTTTCCTTTAAATTTTGTTGTCCATCCCAAAATGCTTTGAGATGTTTTAATTCAAATGTTTTATAAGTTACAAATTTGAGAAACATTATTTTGTTAATCCGTAAAAATAATTCAAAACATTTAAAGAAGCATTCTTAATAAATTCTTAAATAAATTATAACAAAAATATAGATAAACAATTAAAAAATACTCGATGTCTCTAATTATTTGTCCACTTTTGACTTTTTTGATTAAAATTGGTAAATTTTCATGTCAAATTAAATAAAAATTCTATCAGATATTGAAACAAATGTAGTTTTATTAGATTTATGATATCAAATATTTTCAAATTATTGTTTTATCTAATTAAAATGCAATATATATTTTATTTAATTACAGGTCAAAAGTTGAAAATAATTGACCAAAAAAGTCAAAACTGGAAAAATACTCAGGGACTAACAAGGTAAGAATTAAGGTAAAATTACCCCAAAATAGGACTTCAATGTTTTAAACCCCAAAATAGGACCAAAATTAATTAAAATTTTAAAAAACTAAATTATGCCCCACGCGCTTTACTTGATCGGCAATAAGGAATAAACAAAAAAATCAAGCATGCCTCTTGATCGAAGATTACCACCAACGCAGCACCCGTGCCAGGCATGAAGTTTATGCTCTTAATCAACCATGCTTGTCGCACTTGCAAGCCATGAGATTTATGCTCTTAATCGTCACCACACTTCCATCCTCTAGAATTCCTCTATAGACCGCCGAGAATTTGCTTCTCCCTAGCAAATTTGCATAAGAGAAATGATGCATTGCGAGCTCGACTTTTTCAACATTGAACTTAGTAGTCACGTCCAGGGTCATTGGTCCCACTCTTGAGAACACTCGAGCTTTGATGAGGGGAGTGAGGGTTCAGTGTAATTCCTTTGATTGGTTTGCGTTAAGGGTCTTATCCTCGAATTCATCAGCGGTGGTCTCTACTTTCTGCCTGCACCCCTGGTAGACCAATGCGATGCAAATCCCCATATCCAATAGTGAGGTGGTGGCAGTCTGGTAGAGACCACCCCAATGATGAGTATGAGGAATTTGGATGGACTTGAGCAGTGGGGATGGTGATTGCAATGGGAGAGAATGTTTGTTGTCTTGGGAAAGTTAACAGCTACGGGTACTGAATCTTCGATGGCATGTTAATGTCACTTCAACCTCTGCCACTAGCTTAAGCCACCTCCACCGCGATGATGTGCCATCGCTGTTGAAATCTACCATTGTTGCCGTTGATTTTTCACCGTCATCGACGACAATAAAGCTCTCAACCACTGTCGCCAACAATGCCATTAAACTCTACACCGTCATCTTTGCAGTGTTAGACAAAAGTGCAACTCTAGAGGGAGGTGAATAGAGTTGTTCGCTAGAATGTGCGTAAATCGCGGAAAAAAATCGCAGGAAAAATGTAAAGAGCAAGGAAAAAGAGTACACCGTGATTTATACTTGTTCACCACCTCGTGGCTAGTCCAGTCCTCCGAGAGACTCTCTCAAAGGTCCTACTAATACTTCAAGCTTCAACGGGTTCTTGAAAAACCGATACAACTCGAGAACTTGAATCACACAAGCCTCAACTTTTTACAACAAGACTTGAGTCACACAAGCCTTAACAACAACAAGACTTGAATCACACAAGTCTTAGCAACACTCAAATAAGATTGAGTTTACAACACAGGAATGAGAGCTCACACAATTGAGCAAGTAGTGTTTGGAAGATTACAACTCTATGGATGACAATATCTTTAGCACTCAATGAAAATATTTCTAACTCTCAAAATAATATTTGATGAGGAAGATGGAAGCAAGAAGTGAATATGAATCAATAGAGATATTAGAGTGCAAGAGTTGTGTCTAAAAAAGAAGGAGACTGAGGGTTTAAATAGGCTGAAGAAAAATAGAACCGTTGGAGCAAAACTAAGAATAGGCACCAGACACAATTAATCGATTAAAGTGGAAAAGTAATCGATTAAATAGAAAAAGGTTTTCAGCGAAGGGTGTAACTTAATCGATTAAAATTGAGAGAAAAATCGATTAGACGGTGCTGTCTCAACTAATTGATTAAATGAGAAGGAAAAATCAATTAAATACAAGGCATGAGAAATCCAGCGTAAAGGGACTGGATCTAATCGATTAAATTAAGACTTTTAATCGATTAATAAGTAAATAATGCTCAAACACAAAGGGCCCAAGGCCAGTTGCGATGAGGAGTGAATTTGGCCTTAGTTCTTTGTTCGAGACAAACGGAATAAGGCAACACGCTCCAAATTCTTATTCAATGAATTTGAATAAGGAAAAAAAGTGAGTCCAAAAATTATTTTATGTGTCAAACGTGTACACGAAAAATATTTAAAAATATATTTTTCTTACCAAAAAAATGTGTATACTTAAAAAATATTTTAAGAATTTTTGACACACTGTTTTGAAACTGACTCAGTAAAATATTTTTAGACAGAGAAAAAATGATTTTTCAACTGACTCAGAAAATAATAATTTTATCCCTCAAAAAATTAATTTTTTTATGCAAAAATTATTGTCATCCTTACAAAAATTCCTAGACTCAATAATAAAAAGTCTTCGGAGTCTTCACTTCACTTCAAAAATCTGCGTAGGGGTGAGTGTTGATTTTTATCACCGTAAATTTCTTGAAACGCCTCTTTTCTTTTCTCGATACGAAAAATAAATTTTCGATCAACGTTGAATTTAATCATCCTGTTTGTTATTCATCAAAACAAAAATATTCCAGAAAAATAAAAAAGGATTTTGAACTCATGTCCAACATGAAGTGCCACGTTAACAACAAATATAGTGTCAAATGAACACAGATTCCCATGTACAATGCCACATATCCCCATGTACAAAGCTAGATATCCTCATATAGAACGCCACAGATTCTCATGTACAATGCCACAGATCCCCATGTACAATGCCATAGATTCTAATGTACAATGCCGCAGTTACAAATTCAAATTAAATTCTAGACAAAAGCATAATGCCAAACCCAACCGTGCCACTATCCAACAATACGACCGGCGACCATCACCTATTTGATGGCTGATAATCAATGCAAATTTAGCTTACAGAAATCTATAGTGAAGCTGTTGGTCTACCTATGTTCAAGATCAAAGGATGAACTAGATCAGCTGAAATAAGTGCAACACCCTAATCCATCAAGGTCTGCAGCCTTTTCGAACTAAAGTATTAACTTGGTAACGTAAAAATTTCAAACATTTAAAAACTTTATTTCAACAATTGTGCAAAATATTTCATAATAACATCGGAGTAAAATTATTTAAAATAGCGCGGAAGCGATTTGCAAACTACAATAATATGGTCAACCATGTGATAAAATCATTTACTTAAATAGTATATTTGTGCACGTCCACGCATCACCTCCATTTCAGTAATCTCCCGAATAGGCTCCACATTTATTCTCTCTGATCTCATACCTACGTGTAGAATGATGAAAAAGTCTACATGCTCAGCAATGAAGCTGAGTGGTTCCATGGCACAACAAAAGAATTCAAAGAATAATTTTCTTAAACAATACCAATCATATATGTTCAAATATTTCTTTTTCATATTTATATTCGTCTTTGTTATTTTAACAAGGATAATGAGCATAGTCGATTCTTAAATATAATCATTCAAACTTATGTTTTAATCAGTCCAAAATTCACAATCATCCCATGTCACTTTTGTTATCACAACATTCATCATTTGTTACACATAATTTCATATCAAATTTTATCACAATTTGCTCCTAACTTATTCTAAGTTAAGGCTAGATCATATCAATGCTCTTAAACTATTTTTAGTCTAAGTCAAATTAATATTGATAACATAGCTCTTAAACTATAACTTGTCTAAGGCAACGTACACTACAAGAATTTATCTAGTCTGCAACAGAAATCTGCTACGGACATATATCCGTAGCAGATCTGCAATGAATCTGCAACGGAAAAATAATTTCTGGAAAAGGAACATTATCTGCGACGGAAATACACTTTCCGTAGCAGATCTGCAACGGAGTCTGCAACAGATGTATTCCCGTTGCAGATAATTAAATAACATAGGGTTATCCTCTTTTCAATCTACATACGAAATCAGTTCACAGATCCGAGCCCAGACATCTTTCTTCCACCCAACTTCGTCCGACGCATCTCCTCCGCGGCTTTCCTTGACCGCCCGCCGCTACCGCATGCTTGAGGCCGCGGCAATAGTTCTCCTCGCCTCGCCATCGACTGCGCCGCGAGTTTCTCCCTCCAAGCCTCGCGCCTTCGACCACAGGTGTCTCCACCCCTCGCCTCCAGTGTCTCCCTCCCTCCTCGCTGCCACCGCCAGGGTCTCCACCCCTCGCCGCTACGAGCGTCTCGACCGCCATCTTCCCCCACCGGACCTCCTCTTCTTCTCAAGGTATTTTTTTAAATTTTATACAGTTTATTATTATTGTAATTTTTTGTGAAATTGAATTTGTTTGTGTGAAATTTAGTGCATTTGTGGTGAAATTTAGTTCAAATTGGGTGAATATGAGTTTAAATTGATATGAAATTGGGTAAAAATTGCACTACTTTTTTGTGAAATTGATAGTATTTAAGGTGTAATTTTTGTTGAAATTGCGTTAGTTAATTTGACGTTTATTGAGAATTTAAGTAAAATTTAGTTGAATTTTGTGATATATGTAGTTAAATGATTGTTGTTTGTGGTTTAATAAAATTTTCGTATTGTTGCTATGGTTTGTCGGTAATGAATGTGGTTGATATTCTTGGTTTAATGAATCAAATGTGTTTTTTTGTTTTGTTTAGCTTCAGGTAAAAATATTGTGCCTAAGGAACCAAGTGAACTAAAACTGATCAGTTCTGGGAAAGTTTTGGAGAACAGCAAGACTGTTGGTCAGTGTAAGATGCCTTTTTGATGAATGCTTCCCGTTCAAATTTAAAGCCAATTTTGAGGTGTTTTGAGTGATTTTCTTTGCCTAGTCACATTCTACAGTTTTGTGATCTTTCCAAACAAAGAATTGTGATTTTTGGCCAATTTGGGAATTCGAGCACTGTTCACAGTGCAAGAGGTC